GGGTATTTTCTTGGTGCTGGCACTGTTGCTTACAGCAAGCACATTCAGCTAGCTGAGTTTACCAAAAACGAACCTAAAGTCATTCAGTGAAACCACCAAAGACATATGAGAGCTAGGGTAATAGTGAAAGAAACAAGAAAACTCATTCCCAAACTTGTCTGGCTCAAGAATCACAAGGTTGTAGAACCATAGTCTTGTATGGTTGTATGTTGACTATTCTAGCTGGTCAAATACTGTAATAACCCATGAAGCTCTTTCTTTGCCTTTATTTCAATAAAACATTAAAAATTTATACATTTGAGACTTTCTATGCTATAATTTATGCCTTATATACTTCAATTTTTTAATACTTAAGGCTTATTTGAGTATTTGTTGAGAGATTTCAAAATGTTTTACTTTTAAAACAACTTAAAAATATAAAACCTGCTAAAAGTATGTTCCTTTATGGGTAATAAAGCCACATACGTGCCCTGCAGAAATGTAGGGAAATGAGAAGCTTTCTATCCATGTCTGACTCCTATAGCTAGAAACAGCAGAGGAAAACACTATGGATATATTATTCCTATCTCTCAAGAGAAACTAAGCCTTCACCTACTATGCACTGTATAATTCAGATTGAAGATACAAACTAGATAAACGCTGCTATAATTAATATGTAATTTCAGAACTTTTGAACATAAAGGTTCAAATTCTACATTAAGAGGCAGGAGCAATATAAGAAATTTAATTTTATTTATTAAAAAATACAGAGCTATTTTTTATAAGTGAATAAAATATGGAAAAAAGTAAGAGTTGCACCTGACAACCATTAAATAACTTCTAACAGAAATAAACTATTTAGAGTGATAAATTATTTAGAGTGATAAATAAGTACTCCGATGACTATTATCCCCCTCACAGAAAGATAAACAATGTCACTCATGCCATTGCATTTTTCCATTTTTTTTTTATTTCTCTTAATAGTTAAATATTTTATTGCGATACAATTACAACTGCCACCTTAGAAAGGAGATTTGCATACATCTCAGACATAAGTTTTCCTTCAAATACATTTTAAATGTTTTGTTTGTTTTTTATATGAAGAATTGTTGCTGCTGTTAAACTGGTACAATAGCAGCTCACCACTTTGGGTATATTTCTAGCATTTCTTGTGACTTCTGTGACAATAGGTTGTGATAAAGATAAAGAGAGTCTAAACACTTCAAATCCAACCATTACTGCTAATGTGGCTACCTGATTAGAAGAGACCTTCCCCTATACTTAAGATATCATGACTAAGGCAAAAGCTGAAACATTTTCAGATCACTGTATCCAAATTTCTAGTACAGACCACGCTCATTTAGCAATTTGCTGTAGGCAGTACCAAGAAAACTGCCTTTGAAATTTGAAGAAAATGGCAGTAGAAGTCCTAAATACTTAGGTATAAGTTACTTTACATTTTTAGAGATGCAGTGCTTACCACTGTACATTAAGAAATTGTTACAATTTAAATAGCTCATTCTTTCTGTAAAATAGATCTTCACAGGTAAATTTATTGTCAAATATGCTGAAGTTCAAACATGTGCATTACCTTTACTACATAGAAGATTTTGCACAATGTTGACGATGTTGCCTACAAAAATGATAAGCAAAAAAATGGCACACACAGGTGTAATAATGAGTTATATTCGCAAAATGAATCAGTGACAAGACAGGACACAAATCAGAGAATTTTGGAGTTCACAGGACTGCAGAAACAGGCCATGAATAAACAGCACAGAAACTCTGCTTCCCAGCCTGAGCTGGTAACAAGGAAAGTTTATTGCAGATCTGATCTTTAAAAGATGCGCAGTACTCACCTCTTCCTCTGAAATCAGAATTATAAATGCCCTAGAAAATTCCATGAGGCAATGCATTACTGTAGTACAGCTACTAAACAAAAGTAGCTAACAGCCCTTCAAGGGCTGTGTCCATTTACCCCTACTTTAAATGTGACATGAACGTGTAGAAGCTATCATAGTATGCTACAGTTTGAAGTTCTCTTTAAGAAGATAGGAGACTGTCAGCAGACATAACTTCAGAGTATTTTAATTCAAATGACAACTCCTAAGAAGCTCAGCTACCAATGTGAACCACCGGTGTTTCTTTCAGACGCGAGTCTTAAATCAAGACACCTCTAAAGCAAAGCGCAATGTACACGCTACAGAAACAATGGCCTGGTTACTTGCCCAGCATCATGCAAGAATACAGGCAGAAAAATAAACATCACATCCAGTTCTTAGGAATTCTCACTTGACATAACCATGAAGACATTGTCTTCTCTACTTGCAGCCATTTGTTCCATTGCCTAGAGAATTTTTTACTAATTTCTGCAGCACCTATAGCAACATCAGGCTTCTTGCTTGCACAGGCCACAAACATCCTCCCCAGCCCAGCACCACAGGCAGACCCTATCAATAGATTTAAACATTCCGTGTGATCATGAAGATTGCTTCATAGTATACTGACACAAGGGGGCAAATGAAGATTGCAGAATCTTAAAGCAGGAGTTAGATAACTTCTTAATGTTTCATTTTGTGATCTTCTTGTTCTTTTTACAGTTAATAGCTGTTGCTTTGTTTCCCCCTCCCCCCCCAAAAAAAGCATTTCCTCCTTTGAATTCTAATTCCCCTTATTAGATGAAGCATTTTATTTACTTCCACAAAGACGATGAGAGAACTGAAGAATCTTTCACATGAAGACAGGCTGAGTGAGCTGAGACTCCAGACTGGAGAAGAAAGGGCTTGTGTTTGTGTGATCTCAGCAATGTTTCCAAATGCCTGCTGGTGGAGGTACGGGAGAGGAAAGAAAACATAGCCAGGCTCTTCTCTGTCCAGAAATAGGACAAGAGGCAGCAGGTAAGAAAGAAAGTGCATGAAATTCTAGCTGAACAGGACAGGCTGCAGAGTCTCCATCCTTGAATATATTCAAAACTGACTGGACATAGCCTTAAAGAAACTACCCTGTTTAACAAGAGATCTCCCTTACAACCTCAACTATTCTTACTTTGAAATTTCTTTTCAGGGCCAAAATCCATGAAGTAGCTGAGGGTACTAATAGGCTTGCCCTCTTCTCTCTGGAATACAATGAGAGGGGGTGAAATTGACAGTGATTTCCCATATGACAGCAAAAGCTACCACTTAACAGTCTGTATTCCCTTCTGGATCTGAAGAGCGGAGCATTTCCGTGAATGTTAGGAATCATCTGAGGAGTGCAAGCCTCTTTCTCTAAGCCTGACTTGCTCTCTTTGCCTCACGCCAGATCCTCTGTGTCAGGCTACTGCTTCTTCCAATTTCAATAAACAATCAAACCCCCAAATCTTTGCCCAACGTATTTCAATCCTTCTGATTTTCCAGTTCATCTGATCTATCCTTCCTGTATTTGTTCTCAGCTCCAACCTTTTAACATTGCACTTTTAGACATGCTCCTAAAACTAGTTGTCTCCACTCATATACAGCTATTAGTCTCTCTCAGTTTATTTTCAAGCAGGACTATCTTTTCTTGCCTTTTTATGTGAATTAAGCATCTTTTCCCCATACAGGTCCTAAGCCTAGCAGAAAACAAGCACCTGAACTGAAAACACTGAGCCTTCCTTTCTTACATCAGGCACAGTCCTTAGGACCCCCGAGCTGCAGCATGAAGTGAGTTTGATCCAGCCACAGTATCTGGCACCACCCATACAGGCAAACCTCTAGAAAATATAACTGCTAATATTAAGCCACCTGTGAACCATGTGAGAAATGTAACATCCTTTTCAAAGGTTTAGGAACTGAATCATATGAGTAGGCCTTCATAAGTACTTGAAGTAGTTTTCTTATCCAGACAGGAACTTTGGTTCCTCAGTTGAACTCTGGTTCTGCAAATGCTCAAACTGTGTTTTCACCATGTCACTGAACTATTCTGTGCTGCTAGGGCCACTGAACAAGGCACTCCAACCTTTGCCCTTCTGCTTCTTCCTGCTTCCTGCTATTTCCTGCCCTTGTGCCAGTGATAGGAGTTTGCATGGTGAACCAGAAGGAAGCACTGTCTGTTTCACTCTTTGCACAAAGGCCAACATGAGCACAAATGAAGTAGTCAGGAAGAAACAGTTTGGCCACTGGACTTTGACAAAGCTCTTTAGATTCACATCTACTCATGAAGTCCCTGGGAAAAATCCTTGGTACATTAAAATACTAGATCTACTAGAACAACTGAATTGATGGGCTTGCTGCAAGTACAAGTCTGCAGCATGATGAAAAAGAAGCAGAGACCCTTAAGGTCTTACCAAGCATTTCTGTCTTCAAACGACTGAAGTGCTTTTGCAGATCTTTAATATTTAGCAGTTCCTTAATGCTAAATATGAAACTCAAGAGAAGGCTATCCAACTTTGAGCCAGATAGGATATTTTTTCTAAGTACTCAACCTCATTTTGGTCATGTATCTTAAGAGAAATGTAGTAGGTAAATGTGCATATCAATGTTCTTTATGAAAAGCTGTAGGCTATCTAATTCTGCATAGCTATGCTATTGAGAACTGCTCAGGTCTGAACTAAATCGGAAATTTTAGCTATTAGAGTAATTTTGCCAGTTCAAATCCATAGCAGTAGTAAACAATTTTTACCAATCTGAAATTCTGAAATATGGTAAAATAATTCAAACAAATGAATTATAACAACTTGGATTCATATTCATCCATCATGTTTGTACCTGTGCAACTGCACCAGTAGCAGTTCTGTGAAGGCTAAAACCAAAACAAATCTTGATGGCAGATAAGAGTTTTTCCTTTATTTTAAAACATCTATTATTGACTCTGTCAAATACACTTTTTTGAATAACGTATGTGTATTTTAAATGGTGAAATACAACAGGGCTAATAAAATTAGATTAGCAAGTGATACTGAGTCATGATAGTGAAGAAAATAAAATCTTAAAAGGAAACACACTTTCAGATCTGTATCTAAAATTAGTGACATTTACATAACCATTAGTCTACATTTGACTCACCACACAGTTCTCGCATGCAGCTTTTAAAAGGAAAGGAGCCAAAGTAATTTCCATTCTCACTGCAGCAATTTCAATCATCTCAATGAAAGATTTTCCTGCAAGAGAAAAATCTTAGTGGAAGATGAGGAAAAAAATTAGTAAATTCACAGTCAGATATACAGTCTAAACTTCTAACCATAAAACTGTTACCTGTCTATAGCCCAGTGGTTTAAGAAATGAAGTGGTTAATAAGTTTTGTTAAAAAAATTGAAAGACACTTTTTCTTTATGAGCTCTTTGTTAAAAGCGTGACCAAATATTTCCAAGTTCCACTAATTTAGAAAAGACTGTAAAAATGAGCACAGTTTTAAGAGTTTTAATAAAGAAATGTGTTGGCAATTAAAGTAACATAATTTTTGTAGTTTTTAAATATATAAACAAACACACTTACCAAAGTATTGTTAGATAGGTGTAGCTTGAGACGGCTTCTTTAGAAAGTTCAGTTTTCACATAAACCAAAGCAAAATTGTATATATGCCTAGTCTATTTACCATCAGATACTATGAAGCTTTAAATATAGTTTCTGAATAAATGAAAATAAAAAAAAGAAAGTGTTCATATACAAACAATATATAAATTTTTAGCAACAAAAAGGCATAAGGGAATACATGCAATGTCCTGTTCCACGACTCGCGTGCAGAAGTGGCTAGCCTTACTTCAGCAGCACAGTTAATACTGGAGATATTTACAGTCTTAACACCAATATTTACGTGCTGCTAAAGTATGACAGACATCAGCATCACAAGATTGACTAATACATAAGTGGTATTTCTCTTCAGGGTGATGAAATCCTTGTATTTTTGAGGCAGCACAATATGGCCTGCACCTTTTCAAAACCCACAAACCATTATGTGCTGCTACGTTATGCCAAGGTGTCTACAATGCTTCAAGGAAACAGAAACATACTCTGAGATGAATGCAGAATTTTCTTATTGAACTTTAGCTTTCATGTAGTAACATCAGTTGTATTAACGAACTACAAAACGTTTAGAAAACCCAAGCTAGTTTATTTACATTTACACTGTAAATGTTTATTTACAGTGAAGCTCTAGATTTTATTGTCACCTGGGCATAATACCTTAATGAGATATGAACCACAAACTGGAAAACTGTGTGTCTAGTTAGAAAAACTAAAGATTATGCAGATGTTTATTTCAAAAGAAAGCAAAAAATCTGGGTTATTTCCTAGTCTGACTTTTTGTCATTTGGAAACTCAGATGTGAAAAGAAAACCCCAACAACTTTCATATGTAAGAGAATAAGACCTAATTTCAAAATAAGCTTCTGTGAATTATTCTATGAGTCCTCAAGCCATCTGTTAGCTCTGCATCTTACCCTTACTGCAACTTTTGGGCAGACATACTCAAAAGAGCCTTAATTAATTTCAGAGGAAAAAAAAATTATAACCCAAAGCAATTGTTAGCAAGAATAGTAACTTATCTGTTATTATGAGCAGGAGTTCATCTGCCCCAGCCTAGAATTGACCATGCTGCTTTACTTGATGTAGCCAAGAGATGTGGAGTCATGGCCCAGCTAGGTATCATTTTCTTAGACTAAAGAATGTCAGAGATTTAAGTGTGTGCAGTCCTTTTACTGGTTCCCTAGATAACATGAATTATGCTTTCTTTAATGTTTTTACACTAAACTGTTAAGACAAAAGCTACTTACACAGCATGGACCCAAGCATGCCACTCCATTGCAATAAGCCTTCTAGTCAGGTCATGACAGACAACTTCTGGAAATTAACAGGGCTATCTGGAAGCACAAAAAGAGATTTGGCAGGCCATATTGGGGAAAGATTTGGGAATTTTTTGGGAAAATTTTGGGAGTTTTCTTTTCTCCCTTCCTACTACAGCTGGACAATATCTGTTAGAAGAGTCCATTGCCACAAATGTGCCAATTAAAGTGAGATTGCCAATGTACATTTACAGGTAACATTACAATTTACATTTACATTTAGAAGCAACACTTTCAATATGGCTTATCCAGATAGGAATGCTAACTTTAGGAACTGGAATCAAAGAGCCATTTCCAGTATATTTTATACATGCACAGCTCTATTTACACTTATCCGCACCCCACCTCTTACAACCTATGTTTGTTTTTTAAATCAGACAGCTAAAACAGGCAAACTAAATTAAATAGGCACAACTTACCCAACTTACCATGGTGAATTAAAGAGGAGTGCAAAGTCAAAATAAACCTATACTGTAAACGTATGCTCTGACAGCTGGTCTCCCCCCTGCAGAAACTGTGCTAGGCATAAACCAAGAGAAGAAAAAGTAAAGACAAAATCTCCACCATATATATGTGTGTATACACACACACACACACATATATATGTGTAATGTGGAAGGCATAGATAAAGATAGATGTAAGCAAAAATTCCAGCCAGTGGTAAAAGATTTACTCAACTTTTCTGGAAAAAGAGCATGAAAAATGTCCTCTAGCAAGAAAAAAATATTGTTTTGTACGTGTATATTTACCTCAAAAGACTGAAAGAAAATTACTTAAATAAGACAGCTGTAATATTTAATACTTTTGGATTTCTCATTTTTACATTCAGGCCAAATTCTTCATTTGAAACTCCATGTGTTTTAACAGATACTATTCTTTCAACTGCCTGGTTGATTTCAGCTTCTACCTTAAGTATGGAGAGTTTTTTTCCTGTTGCATAACTAAATCCCTTTAAAATTAAACTATACACACCATGAAATTAAGACTTGGCAGAATTATTATGCTAATTTCTACAGAAAGTACATTAGTAAGAAAACTTGCAGGTAATTCCACCCACCCATACAAAACATGAACACAAAACCTTGCATGAATTACAGGATTCCAGACCGCTTGAGTTTTTCCATTTTTAAAAAATTATTTTGGAAGGTGTTTTGTTGTTATTGTTGTTTTTTCTTTTAACTTTACTACAAAATGTCCCAAAAGAAACCAACCAACCCAAAATTCAATACAATGTGACTGTATCCTTTTTACATTGCTATTAAAATAGACATAATCTGCAAGGAGAATAAGCAAATTTCACATAAAATTGAAGGCAGTCTATGTGAGAAGAAGGGGTTGTGGAACAGGAGAAGAATGAGAAGAAGTCTAAGATAACAAGTGCACTGATATCTGAGCCAGGAATCTATTGAAATCCAGGAATGTCTGCACAAAGCTGTATACCATTATGCTTTGGTCATAAAGTCAATATAGTTGTTACCAAGAGTGCTTCTCCTATCTCCATCCTTGTGTCTTAAGTCTGTGGATGAGAGACTGACAAACAAAAGGAGACCTCAATAAAAGCTAGGAATCACATATGCAAGCAGTTCCATTACATTTCCCAAGTCCCTAAAATTAAGAGCTCTGCTGAGGAAGAAGGATTATGAAGATGCAAAACTGAAATTCCACAGAAGCAACTCACATACACAAGTCAGGAATGCTCTTTGAAAAAAAATGTACTGGAACTGTTAGAAAAAAGAAAGGAAAAAAGAGAGAAGTGTGTGTATATATATTTGCACTTGTTTTAGCAATTAGAGTGTTCCCAAGCAAGGAAGGAGCATTTCCTTGATTTCAGTATTTCTTAGTTGATTTATCAAAGACCAAGTCCAATATAAAATATAGTTTTTGGTTTTTATTGTTTATAGTTCAGAGTTTATGACAACACCAAGCCAAACTCAGTCTTTCCGACCTTATGAAAACCAGCTACAAGTCAATTCTGGCTACTAAACATACTAATAAGCTCCTTAAATGCTACTGTAACTACTAATAAACTCCTTAAACCTCTTTGTAACATATTATATCCAGAAGGTACCACTAGGCCTGCAATCTGACTGACAGGTCAGTGACTTGGAGTAAAAGACACCAAGGATTTTGTATTAAAACACTGTATGTTGCCTTTAATACCCAAGAACATGATCTAAAATTAAATATTTACCTCATGCCTTTTGGTCATACAAGCAAAGCATTCCCTTCTTGGCCAGAAGCTATTCCTCATCTATAGTGTTATACACCATTGCTCACAACCATATTCCATTGCTTTAGTTCCTTACTCATTTATACAAAGCACAGATCCAATATGAAAGCAAGGCTATTCCTTCACTGTTCATTTTGACCCATTCCCAACCTTATTTCAGATTAAAATTAGAAAACTGAATGCGAACCTGAAAGACTTAAGTGCTCCACAGTGCAAAAGCATTACATTTCTCCACCAGTGCTACTCTCCTCCACAGCCCTGACACCAGCAACTACACATGTCCATATCTCAGTTTTGCCAGGTTAGCTTAGTTTAACCAGAAATTAGACAGGGTTTGCACTGAGATGGCACAGCATGAAGTGGGGCATCTTTGACAAGTGTGCCCTGCTCTATGCATTCCACTAATGGAGTAAGTTACTTCTATGTTAGACAGAACATTTTGCAGTGTAGCTTTTTGGACAACTGCTGGTGGATTTGCCAAATTCTCCTCTCATAGTTCAGTGTCACTAACACACCACTAAATATGAATAAACATGATGGCAGTTAAACGATGGCAGTTCAACACTGGAAAATACATTTAAGGTTTTATTTAATTAATCTGGGAAAAAGACAGATAATCTCACTGTTCACTACCAAGAAATCTGAACATTTCCATTCTCTAAGATTCTCAGATCTAAAAGTGTATGTAGTTGTATCTTGCTCATACACTGTTTACACACCTCTCTCCAAGTCAAAACAATAGTTTCATTTTATTTTTGTCATATGCTTACTCAACACTGCAGTATTTATACTGCAAACATACTAAAATTTATAACTCTTGTTCATTCTTAAATCTAAGATTTAGAAGTATATTATTTTACTCCTTCATTTGTTAACAAACTGTCTTTCCTTCTAATTTGTGGTGTCAGCAGCCTTTAAAATGATATGCATGTAATTATAAAAAGAAGAAAAAATTCCACTGAAATATTTCAGAACATTAACTTTAAAGGTATCAGTGAACTTTCAGCTACTATTCCATTATTATTTGGTTCAGGCATAACGTACAATACTCTGTTAATTCACTCAACTTAATTGAGGCTATTTTCTGGTCAGAGGAAGAAGAATTAAGATAGTAAACTATATACCTTGATTGCTCTTCTCCTGAAGTAACAGCAAGATTTTTAAATAGCTGTTTAAGACTGCAGTTCTAAAGAGAAAAAATAAATTTAAATAAATTTAAAAAAATCTAAACTAGCAATTTTGTTGCATGTGTTTTTCTTTTCAATTAAATAACTCTAACACAGAAATAAATTTGCCTCACTTCACCTCAAAGAGATGCAGTAATCCAGGACCAAGCTTATATACACAGTCCATGTATAATAGGTCCTCCCATACTTTCTAGCAAGCAGCTGTATATTTCTAAGATGATGATAAAGATGTGTGAAAAAAAAATCAGAATTAATGCTTTAAATAATTCTCTGAACAAAAAGATGAATATTTGAACAGAGATAACTAGCACTAATTTAGAGTTTTGGTAGCACAAACTTTGACATTTAAAAAAAAAGTGTGTTCATTATTTCGTGATTATATTAACAATACTCCCCATATAACTATGGCAAAAGACTGAGAGAAGTAAATTTTTTTTCAATGTGAAGTATTAATAACTAAAGTAAAGCAGATGACTGCTGATCACTTAAATTTACTGCTACTAAATTTGGAGAATCTATATCATGTGTCCAGCCATCTCTCCAAGGATCATGAGCAAACAGATTTAGACTAGCTGGAGAACTACTGCATAAGATAAACATGAAATAACAAAGCCAGCTAAAAATAAAAACCAGGAAGTAAAACCATTGAGAAATTCAGAAGTACAAAAATACCTGGAAATTTAGAAGTGCAGTTAAGGACTCCCAGCATCAAATTCT